GTCATGATATTGCCTGTGGGTCTAGGAATGAGTTTTGTTTTCTAGATGCTTGGGGTATAACACATATTGAAGGCTGTATTCATGCTTTTTAAAAATTTGTATATTAATTTTAATGAAAGTTGACAGAGACTTAGGGTTTCCAGTCATTCATTGCTGCGCTTTTCTCCCTGTCCACCCCTCCCCCCCAAGTTCACTCTTCTCCTTGAAAAGAAAAAAACTCTTTCATTGTTATGAAATCTGCCCCCAAGACCACTCCACTGTGCAGCCTTCACTCTGGACTTTTGCATATTCATTCTTAACGATAAGGAAACTGAGTCTAAGAGAGATGATATGATTTCTCAAGTCTCACCCAGCCAGGATGAGGCGTAGCATGCGCTCAGGAAGTCTTGATGTGAGAGCCCAAGCCCTTAACTATGAAGCTATTTTACTTCTGAAAACTACGCCGTGTGGGATCCATCAGTGAATCAGTCCAGCCCTGAGCAAAGCTGGCTTATTGTCCTCAGCATAAGCCAACACTGCATTTCAACGAGCACAGCTATCAGTGCATCCAAGATCTCTGCACTTTAAGGACAAAATAAGCTTCTAAAGATCAGGCAGTCAATGTCAAGGGGCATAGGTAAGAGTTCAAGAGACTCTGGGTCTATCACCATTCCCCGAGGATCTCTTAAGAATACGGACAGTACAGAGAGACAACGTCTAGACAGGCTTGGTCTTAAGGCTGCTTTTGTTACCATTAGGTGCCATCAAGTCGACAACAACACACAGCAGCCCTATGAACCCTGGCTGTCCTGCGCCACCCTCGTCACCTCACACGCCTAGGAAACGAGGCTGGCTGGCTGGCTGTCAGGGTCTGAGAGAACAGGAGGGTTTCAAAGGATGGAGAGAAGGTTCTTACTTGTGAATTGCTGTTGTGAGGTGCCATCAAGCCTAGTATGAGTCATAGCAACCCTGTGAACAGGAGATCCAAACCCTGTCCTCACCTGTGCCCCCTCACTATGTCTGACACACATGAACCCATTGGTGCAGTCACTGTGTCAGTCCATCTCATTGAGAGTCTGCCTCTCTTTCACTGACCCACCACCTTTCCAAGCATGATGACCCTCTCCAAGGAATAGCATCTAGTAACATGCCCAAAGCATGTGAGACAAAGCTCTATCTATCTATCTATCTATCTATCTATCTATCTATCTATCTATCTATCTATCATCTATCTAAAAAATATGGGGTCTGGGGCCTTGGAGTCTCCCTCCGCCCTGGAAGTAAGCTGGCTGGCACCCTGGAAGTAAGCTGGCTGGCTGGCTGGTGTCTCAATGGCAGTCTCATCTTGAAGGCAGTAAGGCAAGGGAAGTTTTCTGAGGTCCTTTTTGTTGTGTGTTACTGTTCTTTTTTCCCCCTCAAAAGAGGGTGGCCCCTGAGCCTTAGACTAAGGGTAAGGGTGGAGGCCTGCTTGAGAGCGTGGCTTTAAAATCCTGTAGGATTTATTAATTTTAGAAGAATATTCTTTAAAAGAAAGTCTATTTGATGTACTGTACAACTTAGAGTTGCCGTGATGTCACGTCAAATACCGTAATGGTTACCCATCATGTACAATGGTTGGAGGAGCTTCCAGAATGATTCATGTTGGGAAGCAGGAATGGCATCCAGTTCCTAAACCAGATGCCTCTGGAAACTCTACAAACTCTTTTCTAAATAATGTTAGTTATAGAACAGAGTTCAGGTCTTTTGTGCAAAGCTTACTCTGAGTTGTATTTGACTCGACAACACTTAACCACTGCTAAATGAGACCAGTGTTGTCATATCTGGGGGAACCTTTTTCCATTTTGCACATCACTCTTTATCACTGTGCTGTATGAAGTAACATGGGTTCGCTGTGATGCTGAACCTTGTGCCGTTAGGGTGTCAGATGCCAGAATGGTTTCCCACTGTGGACAGTGTTTGGTGGAGCTCCCAGTTGTAAAGCAGGTTTGGAAGCAGGAATGGCATCCACTTCCTAAACCACATCCCTCTGGAAACTCTATGAACTTGGAGAAACAACGATAGCTACGGAAAGGCATTAGGTCTTTTGTTCAGAGTTGCTATGAGTTAACCTTGATGGCAATCAACAACACAACAGATAGATCTGGATCTATAGATATAGATATTCGTCTATTAATTACCATACATACATAGCATACCCTGTACTGAACTGCACTGAATGCTCTTGTGTATCCTCAAAAGGCTTCCATCCAAAAGCCTTCCCTGAGAAATCTAAGGATTTGAGTTCAAATCCCAGAAACGCCACTTCCTAGCTGGGTGATCACAGCTTCAGCTGCCTCTGCTGTCAAATGGGGATAAGACCTGGAGTCTCGGGGTGTGTGTGACGCCTTCCCAGCACACCCACTGTATCAGGGTGGGAGTTTTGCACATGTGGTAAAGGGCTTATGCTATTTGATTGATTGATTGATTGATTGATTGCTTCTGGAATTTAAAACACTCACCAGGTACCCATGCAATCTGAGGACTTGCCGGCGAAGGCATCGTGGCAAAGAAAGTCTGTGATTAGATGCCATGCGTTGGGCACGCGGGGGGACTTCCCTGGGGCCCTTCCTGCACCTGACAGTGCGTCGCCATTGTTGTCATCTGGTGCCTCCAACCACGCTGACCTTTTCTAGTTGTCAGACTTGTCTTATTAAATCCTGAGGTCTTAACTGCTCGGCACACAGAGGCCGCTGGTTGGCCCATCCGCGCACGTGCTCATGTATAATTCATAGGGGCTCACGCTGCCTGGCGAATGCATATTTATCAGCCTTCTCCTAAGAGGCAGGGTGGCGTTTCCCTTCGCTGCGACCCAAAAATTCTAGGCTGCGGCAAATGAAATTTGTGAGCAAATAAAGCCAAAGAATAAGGGGAGGCAGACACTCCCGACGCGAGTCCATTCCACTGGTAATTTTCCATTTTCTGAGGCCCCGAGCGTGCACGGAGGTGGTTTTTCAGTTTGGTTCCAGCAGAGAACTGCTGAGTCGTCCGGAATAGAAATGCTTCCATATGCTGTGCCCATTTGCCCCCGCAGAAAACGCCCCCTCTCCACGCTCCAGCACTGTTTTCAGCGGCAGACAAGCCCAAGGCCCGTTCAATAGCTCCAACGTGGGCTCTCAGAACACTGATCAAGCTTGGGGGAGATGAAGGACAAGAAAGGCCAGAGAAGAATGGGTGCATAGAGTGGATGGGGAAACCAAGCCTTCCAAGTTCTCTACTCTCAAAGTGAGGAGCACCCAGACAGAGGGGTGCCCTGTGCTGATGCCCCTACCCACGCCCACACTGGCACACCCAGAAGACCTCTCAGTCAGAAGCTGGCTTGTAGCCTTGATCGCCACTGCAGAAAAGAGCAAAGGAGGGGAACCTGCATTGTAATGTGTTAATCCTCTAAGCTGGAACTCGCTGATTGTCAATCTCATCTGGATGTGACGTCTCACCACCGTTGGGAATATAGAGTCAGGGGGCTTGCTGTCATCACCCCAGACCTAAAGGATGATGTTGGCAGTGAGGCTGACATTGACAGTGACGTTGATGATGTCAAGGACAACAACCCGCACTGAGCCCTCGGGATGTGGCTGACTCCACACCAAGCACGTCAACTGTATCATTACGTGCAGTCCTCAATGCATATAGGTGAATTCTCTGTTATTGTGTCACTTTAAAGAGGAGGAAATTGAGGCAGAAAGATGGCACGGTTTGCTGACATTCACCCAGCTCCAGCTGAGGGTCATTGTCATAGTGCTGGGTGACCCAGAGTCCAGGCTCTTTCGGCTGGCAGTCAGTCCATGGCTGTGGGTCATATGGCTTTAGGGAAGTCACTTTATCTCCAGGAGCCTCAGGGTTCTCATTTGTAAAAGGGGCGCAATAGCACCCACTTTCAGTTGTGAGGAGGTGGGGGTCTTACAGAACCCAAAGAGTCCTGGAGGCATTGACAGGCCTGTGGGCCCCCTATGAAACACTTAGTATGAAATATTAAGTAAGGGATTTGATTCTATTTCTCTGGGAACTCGGAGCAGACGCACAGGCAGAAATATCGTACCCATCCATCCTCTCATTCATTCATTCGTTCGACAAGAACGTGTTGAGCACTTAGTAGAAGCCAGAATCCTGGCCTCAAGTTCAAACTCAAACTCATTACTGCCGAGTCAGAACCGACTCACCCTTGGGTTTCTCAGGCAGTAAATCGCCCAGGAGGAGAAAGCTCATCTTTCTCCCTCACAGTCACTGGTAGTTTTGAATCAGCAAAGAGGCACGGCCTTTGGATTAGCAGTGCGCCTGCCCACGGACGACACCACCCAATCATTCCAGGTGGGGGTCGGCAGCTCTGATGGCCTGGTGGAAACGAACAGCACTGCCGACCCAAAGGCACGGGGTTCAAAGCCATCAGCTGCTCTATGGGAGAAAGACGGGCAATTTCCTCTCATGCAATTTGCAGCCTCTGAAAACCCTCTAGAGGATCAGCTGTGAGTTGGTTCTGACTCATAGCAACAACAACCACAGAGGCCCTGGCTGTGCAGCCACACTCGTTTCATCTCTGTTACTATTTGTATCCTGATATTGACCACACAGCGGTTCAGAGGGGACTCGCACAGCTGTTGTTGTTATTGTTGTGGTTGTGGTTGTTGTGTACCATCAAGTCAGAACCAACCCAGAGCTGGCCCTCCAGCCAATTTTCCAAAGTTATAAATCACACGCAAGAAGATTAACCATTTTTCTCCCACAGAGCAGCTAGTGGATTCGATCTGCATACCTTTAGATTGGCAGCACAATTCCTTACCACTAAGCCATCAGAACATGCAAGAATGAGTCACAATGCAGGGGATGTAAAAGGAATGACATCATAGGGATTGCAGTTTGGGCCCAAGCTTACACCACCCTCAGCGTCACACACCCCCAACCCCCATCCACAGGTCTGGTTCTCAGATTTCCCCGTCCAGGTGTCCCTGTGGACACGATCGATTGTCAGGCCTGAAGGCCCCACCTACCTTCCTCTCGACAACGCCCTCGGAGGTGGACATGAGCGCCTTCATGAGTGGAGGGTCTAGAACCTGGAACCGCCGGCGGAACTGAGTGAGGCTCATGTGATCCGCATAACCTAGGGGGTGGGAGCGGAGAAGAGAGTATGAAGCCTGATGAGAAGACCCAGCCCAGGCCCTGGACAGGTGGCAGCTGGCCACCACTTTCCTTAGTGGCCTTACTTCTTTTTTATTATTATTATTATTATCATCATCATCATCATCATCATCATTAATTTTAATGAATAATTACAGAGACTTTGGATTTCCATTCATTCATTCATTTTTGCACTTTTCTCCCTGCCCACCCCTCCTTTCCAGATCGCTTTTCTCTTTGAAAAGTTAAACTCTTTCATTGTTAGACAATCCCTCCCCCCAAGTCCACTCCACTATGCAGCCTTCGTTCTGAACTCCTGTCATGACAATAATACCTAATCATAAGTCCCTTTTAAAGAGTTCTCTCCCTCATCTGTTTCAATGCAGTATACATTATTTTTCCCACCTTTCTCAGTCTACCCCCAACCCTGATGTCAGTCCTGTTTTACAACAGTGGCACTATGGCACTATATGCAGTATTTGTCCTTTTTGTGACTGAGAAACTTCATTCAGCATAATGTCCTCCAGGGTCACCCGTTTTGAGTAATATTGCATGAGTTCCTTGTTTTTCAATGCAGCATAGTATTCCATTGTGTGAATGTACCACAGCCTCTCTAGCCATTTGTTTGTTGATGGGCACTTAGGTTGTTTCCAACTCCTTGCTATTGTGAACAAAGCCGTGATAAACATGGGTGTGCATATATCTGTTTGAGTGGCAGTTATTGTCTCTTTGGGGTATATTCCACAAGGCCTCAGTCTCCCTGTTTGCGAATTTAAAAGAGTCTCTTTGATCAGCCTCCTCTGAAGACATGCTGTAGGGGTAACCTCTATAAGATGCCCCACGGGGAGCTTGTGGAAGGTGCACACACGTCCGTCTTTTGGGTGGTCAGAGAGCACACTGGCCTCAACAGTCAGGGCTCTGAGATCTGCAGGAAGGCAACTAGCAGGCTTACGTGGCTGTTGGCATCGTTTCCCACTGGACCACGGAAGCTTTACTGGGTTCCGATACGTGGTACAGCCCACACCGTGGCAGTGCTACATCAGACAGCATCTCAGCGGCCCAGCAGGAGAATCCATGCCTTCCCCACAAGAGGGCCAGGCTTGAGTCCCATTCAATGCACCTCAAGTTCAGCATAATCTATCAGTGGTCGCGTGCATGTTGAAGGAGATGCAGAACTAGATTGAGCCGCCCTTCCAGACTCTTAACAGAGTAGAGGAAAGGCCTGGAGGTCTGTCTCCAAAATACTCAATAAAGCAGCTCACTGTTATCGAGTGAGATTCAACTCCTAACTGGTTTTTAGGGGCTGTAAACCACATGGGAGGAGAATGTCCACCTTTCTCATGCAGAGCAGCTGACGGATTTGAACCACCTGCATTTGAGTTGGCAGTGCAACTCTTTTGACCACTAGGCCACCAGCACTTCCTTCTCCAAAATAAGCCCATTTAACACCCTATAGATCACATCAGTCCAATTCCCTTGAACAGAGGATTCCCATGAGCTGGGGGTCGGGGAGGTGGGGACATGGAGATTCAACAAGGCAGCTACAAAAACACAGGCTCAGGGAGCTCTGGTGGCCTAGTGGTAAGAAGCTGCACTGCAATCCTAGAATTATAAGGTTCTAATCCAACAGATGTTCTGCTGGAGAAGGAGGGGCAATCTCCTCCTGTACCACTCAGATCTGATTTGACGATACACACACACTAATAATAATAATAATAATAATAGTTATTATTATTAAAACCCCCACAGACTCTTTAAATCTATCATGCATAAAACCAATTGCATCCTTTTGGGTGGAAAGAAAAAGCAGCATATGGAGAAGCTACAGGGTGTGGCAGGGGGCAGGGGAAGGAAAGATGTAAGAGTTTTCCAACATGGGTGACCCTGCAGGACATTATGCTCAGTGAAATAGCTCAGTCACAAAAGGACAAATACTGCATAGCACCACTGTTATAAAGCAGGTCAGACAAAAGGGATTGGGAGGAGAATAGGATAAGAGTGGATAGATAATGAACACTGCACTGGAATAGATGAAGGAAAGAACTGTTTAAAGGGAATATATGATTAAGCATTATATGTATGACAACAGCTCAGAATAAGAGGTATATTGCAAAGAGGACTGAGGGAATGGGGAGGAAAGGAGGTAATTGTGCAACAATGAATGATTTTTTTTAAGTGAACTGGGGAGGGTTAAAGGAGGGAGACAGGGTACAAATGTGTAACTATGAATGAAGGAAAATCTAACTTTTCCATAAACTTTTGTTAAAATTATATATATATATATAAAACTAAATATACAACTAACTATATAACTATATAACTAAATATACAACTATACAACTAACTATATAACTAAATATACAACTATACAACTAACTATATAACTAACTGTATAACTAACTATATAACTAACTATGTAACTAACTATATAACTAGAGAGAGAGAGAAAGAGAGTGAGAGAGAGATCTTAAGAGCTTTCTGGAAAGATGTGGTGTGGACTCAGGCATATAAGACTTGGAGCTGGGAAAGATATGGTCTGTACCACTGAGCCACTAACGGCTTACTAGTTTTAAGACCTTTTAGTAATAGACGTAGAAACTGAAGCTCAGAGAGGTAATGACGTCAATTCCCAAGACACACGGGGAGAAAGAGTTGCCTCTGGGATTAAAGCCCCTGACGGTGACAGTTAATAATTTGGTGGAGAGGAGGTGAGGATGAGGGCTCAGAGATCAGCAGGTACTGGGTCCCAAAGGAACTCCAATGCGGGCCATGACCTTCACCTTGGAGACGGCAGTGGAGTCGGGTGAAACCTCACTTCACTCTTAAAACTTCACATTGCGCTGGAGACAGACATCAGATGAGTGTGAGTGTATATGGCTAATCTGGGAAAGCTTCCTGGAGGAAGAGGACCATCTCAAGCCAGGCTCAAGGGCAGCACAGTGACCATGGAGTTGGGGGGTCATGAGCCTGCACTGTGGGGTCAGGCTTCATCTTGATTCATGCTCTGCTGATGCTCTTGAGGAGCCCATGACCATGATGGCCAAAAGGTGCCACCCCCTTGAGATTCAAGTTCTTCGTGTTAAGTGAGAATAGCAAGACTGATCCTCACATGGTCATATTGCTGTTGTTATGTGCTGTCGAGGCTGCTCTGTACACTGTCATGTTATTGTTGTTCCATGCCGTCAAGTTGGAAACGACTCATAGCTGACCCTCCAGCAGGTTTTCAGAGGTTGTAAATTGCACAGAAGGAGACTGTCCGTCCTTCTTCCATGGAGCAGCTGGTGGATTCAAACCACCTACCTTTGGGCCACTGTGTACCAAGGGTGCTCTCCTGTATCAACATTCTTCTAAGCATCATTGCCTTGCCCAACTCTTCCAGTGACTCTACGCCTGAGCTATTACAGGGTAGAGAGGGGCACAATTTAAGGGCTTCCTGGGGTCTCACAGTGGCCAGAGTTAAGTCCAGACTGTTTTGATCCAAACTTTGAGCTGTGATGGCCAAGGTCAAATTTAATGAGCATTTGTCATATCCCCAGCACTGTTCTAAGTTAAGCTAAGGGTTTGGTGAGGACACAGTCAGTCAGGATATAGAAGCACAAAGCGTCGATCATATATGGTATATGCTGTGCATTTTGTCTGAATGATGGATATATGCTGTATGCAAAGTCGATTGTCAAGGCACATTGACTGAGTAGAACTATGACATAAGATTTTCCAGGCCTGGTGGTAAGGAGATATGCTACTAACCCAAAGGCTCGCAGTTCAAATCCACCGTAGGAGAAAGATGGGCACTCTTCTCCCATGCAACTTCACAGCCTCTGAAATCCCACTGGAGGGTGAGCTATGAGTCAGTTCTCACTCCACGCCACTTAACACAGTAACACTTAGGGAAGGCAGCTCTTGCAGTACAGGCCCTAGGGAGGTGTGCTGTGAACCCCAAGTCCGAGTCTCTCTAGTGGTTCGAATCCACCAGCGACTCCATGGAGAGAAAAATAAGCAATCTCTTTATGTGCCATTTGCAGCCTTGGACCTTGGAGACTCAAGGGAGGGTTTGGCTGTGAGCCGGTCCGACTCGACGTCAATGATTTAGTGGGGAATCTTTATGGGAGCACACCGCCGGGTCTTCCTCTCGTGGAGCCAGGAGCTGGGTTAGAACTGCCAAAGTTTTGGTTAGCAGCTGAGTGCTTACCCATTATGTCAACAGGGTTCCTTGTGATACAGGTATATATGTGTACATACATCCATGTATGTGCTTACAATTATATACAACATACATACTTACGATGCATGTACAATGTATATACTTACAATGTACATGCATACATGTGTATGCCTATTCCACACGGGATGGATGTGTGTACACATGTATGCATACATTAAATGTGCATGTATCCAAAGTTCTATGTGTTTATTATCACATACAGAATGTCTAATCAACTGTTCCTTCAAATTGTCCTTCCCTTCTCCTATACCAGTGCAGTGGTCATTATCTATCCTGCTCTCCCCTGACCCGGCCACTGGATCCACCCTCTCGTTACATAACACTGGTCTTGTTGTTGTTGTTGTTGTTATGTGCCGTCAAGTCGTTTGCAACTCATAGCGACCCTATGTACAACAGCCCTAAACCGTGCTCTATCCTGTGCCAACCTCACTGCCCCTGACAAACCCATCCCGAGTACCCCAGTCACTGAATCAATCCACCTCATAGAGGGTCTTCCCCTCCTGCGCTATCCCTCCACTCTACCCAGCATGATGTACCTCTCTAAAGACCTGTCTCTCCTTACAACATGTCCAAAGTATGTCAGACGAAGCCCCAGAATCCTTGCCTCCAAGGAGCAGCCTGGTTTAATGCTCTCTAGGATGAATCTGTTTGTTTTCCTGGCAGTCCATGGTACATTCAATACTCTTCTCCAGCACCACAGCTCAAAGGCGTAAATTCTCCTTCTATCCTCGTGTGAAACGTGTAGAAATGAATGAATTAATGAAAACCAATCTCTTGGTAAACTTCCCTTAAAATCACAATTAAAAGAAATGAGATCATGAATGTTTATTTAACACGTGTGTGTCGATGTGTGTGCATCCTTCTAAAATCGTGACTATTTAATGCCTGTGGATGGATGTATGCATGTGTTCAGATGTGTGTGTGTGTGTGTGTGTGTGTGTGTGTAAGAGGGTCAGAAAAGACCTGGAGCAGGAACAACGAGCCGGCACGGAAGCAGAAATGGGCAAGTTCAACCTCAGCAACGCCACCTCTAGGTTAGCGTGAAAGCTAGCCCTGGCTGAACTTGGCTGTGAACAGAAAGGGCTGATGTCCCTATGAGGACAGCCAGCCTGAGAGAGGGGACACGCTGATCTGAGCAGGTCCACGGTGACAGTCCCACTGTCATCCAGGGTCCCTGGCCAGGCCCAGCACCTCCTACCCGCCAGTGGAATCGATCGACTGGGTGCCTGGGTCACTGCTAGGACACTGTCTGTCTCCCTCCTCCTAGAGCTGATGGGCAGGAGGCAAAAATCAATGAGTTGCTGGCAGCCGGGTGGCCTCATCTTGGCTCGACAGAAGGGAGGGAGTGTCTATCCATTGTTAACAGGACGTTCTCCAGGCAGGGGCCACAATCACTAAAGACATTCAACAAGCGGGTGTCTAGCTGAGCTGGGATCTCACTCCTTGCTGCAAGAAGGTCTCTTTCTATCTCCCAGAGTTGCAGGGAAGAACAGGAAAGATTAAGCTCAAACAGAACTCGTACGGTGAATTAATTGGGCAAACCTTGGGTGCAAGCTCAATGCACATGCGCAGTGCAGACCTGCAGACGTCATTCCTTTGACCAGAACGCTTTCTCCTGCTATAAAGGCATGCCAGGGGTAGCACAGACAGTTAAGCCCTTGGCAGCTAACCAACAGGTCCAGAGGTTCGAATTCACCCTTGGGCACCTTGGAAGCAAGGGCTGGTGATGTACTTCTGAAAAATGAGTCCTGTACTCCTCATTAGACGTTATACTGACTTGACAATAACCGTGTTGGGTTTATCTCACTGCCCATCATCTCCCCACCCAAGCTGAGCCAGGCAGAAGCCATACTCCCCAAGGCGTCGCTTGCTGGATTCTCCAGCCTCACCTCCCATAATTCCCTGCTCACTGGGAATCTTCCCAGAATGTACAACAGCAGCAGGAAAGCATAATAAAGGGGACTGATGCTGTGTGGCCTTGAGCATGTACTTGAACTTCAGTTTTCTGCTATGAAAGGCAGCATCAAATGCTCCTTCCCCTAGCATCTCCCTCCCGTGGATACCGGGCGAGTTAGTGTGGTTCAGTGTGGAAAGCTCACAGCATGCATGCTTGGGGCTCCTGCCCCTGGGAGGTGGGCTGAGCCCAGGAGGGCAGACAGGTGCTCTGGTCTCCACCGTCCCCTACCTGCCCTGTGCAGACGCAACGCCTCCAGGATGTGGGAGCCTGCCAGCTGGACCCTCAGAGCTGGGATGTCTGGAGTTGGGGGTTCCTCTGGTCTGGGATCATCTCCCCCCGGCTGAGGTGGAGTGGGAGGCCCCTGCCCACCCCTGCTCTCCACCACCGGGTTGGGCACCAGGCAGTGGATGAAGTGTAACTGGGACCGTCGGATCACGTTGGTCAGCGCGTCCTAGGACAAGAGCAGAGGCGTCAGGATCAGCCATCTAACGGGGACAAGCTGGGTCTGGACATGCCTCAGACAGACCTTCATTCAGCCTTGGACATCGGGGCCTCCTGTATCTTGGATAAAATGCAGTCAGCGTGCTCTTTACGTGCAAAGAGGGCAAAGCTTCATGTCACATGCTTTGGGATTGTTGCTAGCAGGGGCCAGTCCTTGGAGAGGGACTTCCAACTTGGAAAGGTGGAGGGTCAGCGAAGGAGACAAAGACCTCAGCAAAAAGGACAAACACAGTGATTGCCAACAGGCTCAAGTGTGTGAGGGAGGATGACAAGGGCACAAGATAGGACAGGCTTCAGATCCATTGTTCGCAGGGTCGCTGTGACTCAGACTTGACTCCACAGCACTTAATGACAACAGCCCGGCCTACACCAAGGGCCTCCCATTCATGGACTCACTTAGTCTCCATGCAAAATAAGGGGCCAAGATAACAGCATTGATTGGGACAGGGGAGGAAACTGAGGCACAGAGTGGGCAAGTGGTTGGTCCCTCTCTGGTCACTTAGACCATTAGCTGAAGGCCTGGGGCTAGAACTGCATCTGAGATGAAATGTCTTTTCTATAAGATGTTGCCCAGTTTTATGGGGGTCTTTATCTAGCTAACCCCCAAAATGAACTCTTCCACGCCCAGCCTTTCTGATCATAGACAAATTAAAGGGTCTCATTGATTTTGAGATTTATATGGTCTCAGTCAAGGCAACTGGTCCATTCTCAGTGCAGGTTTTACTGCCTCCCTTTATGGAAGCCCAGTGGTGAAAACGTGAATGTGGAGGGTCCAACTGGGGCATTGCTGTCTTCCTCAGAGGGGCACTCATGGCCCCAGGCACCTTCCTGCAACCTCTCAGAACGAAGCAGCTAAGGCTTTGGCCTTGGCCCAAGATCCCCGCCCCAGCAGCCTGATTCCCAGCTGTGTGGCCTTGGGGAAGTGTCTTTGCCTCTCTGGGGAACATGTGGCTGCAGGTTAAGAACACAAAAACACACGCACTCCTCCTGCAGGCAGGTCTCCCACTCACCATCTGCAGCTTGACCTGGGTGCACACGGCCTTCCTCTTCACTGCGGCCAGGCTGCTGGCAAACACCCTCCTCACAGCGCAGACCCGCTGCAAGGCCTGCTGGGAGGTGCCCTCCAGGCCGGCCACTGCCCTGCACAGGGGCGGCAGCTTGGTCCGAGGCTGGAACAGGCTCTGGAGTTCCTCCCTGGCAAGAGGGAAAGAAAGGAAGCTGTAGGGAGTGGGAGAGAGGAAACGGACCTCCCCTTGAGTGACATGATGTAGCCACCATCCGTGGCCTACGGTCCTCCGTCTGCCTCAGGTGTCTTCGCTATGTGACAAAGGCCAGCTCCTTTCCCCGAAGGCTGGTGTCCACCTGCATATATACTCCCTCCCTCCACCTTCGGGGGCCTCTCCCATCCAGTGCCCTTGTCATTTCCACACTTACAGCAATCCCATTCACACTGCACTTTCTCAGACAGAAGAATCATCTTGCATCCCTCGAGGCCACCACTCATCCCTCAAGGTGTCCTACGGTGGGGGCTTAGGTGTGACTGTGCTGCTAACAGTTGTGTCACTGGAATTTCCAACATCAGTGAGACCACCCACCCACCCCTCCACGAGGCCAGGTTTCATCAGGGCCTCCAGACGAAGGGAGACTAGGAAGAAAGGCTTGGTGAACCACTTCCAAAATTAGCCAAGGAAAACATGAGTCACAGAACTCAATCTGATCTGAAAAATTAAAAAAATTCTAATTCACTGCTGTCAAGTCAGAACTGACTCACACTGGACCCTCCAGCAGGTTTCAAAAGCTGTAAATCTTTCTTCCCTTGGAGTCGCTGGTGGATTTGAACCACCGGAGAAATGCCAGCCTTTGGGTTAGCACACAACACCCTGTGGGCCACGCCACCAGAGCTCTCTGTATCTGAAGGCGGGATTGAAAACTAATCCCCTGGCTTGGAAGGCATTAAAAATACACAGTGGCCGTGACAGACTCCAGCAGATCAGCGTTCTGACCAGGGGGCAGGAGCGAGATTTTGTTCTGTTAGACATAAAGTGACTCGCTCAGTGACGACAACAACATCCTGAGGACAAGACTGTCCCTGCGAGGTGCTTAGAGAGTGTTTTCAGCAGGAATGGACACCTCGCAGGATGCAAGATAACATCGATGGGGTTTCCGGCAGGAATGGACGCCTCGCAGGATGCAAGATAACATCGATGG